CTAACAAAAAGCTTCTGCTTCCTCCCCTGTGGCCACAAGCAGCTTTAGAGGGACCTGCCAGTCCACAAGGTTTGGACTGGGACACTGCTGCAGAAACCTCTGCTCCCCACCTGGACCCAGAGCCCCAGCTTCTGCTATTCAATTGCAACCATGAGGAAAATCTTTGCCCTGAAAGTATCAGGGGACATCATCCTACCAGTCAAGTCACTATGAGAAAAGAAAGAAGCACAAACCCTTTTCTTACAGTCTGCGGCCAGGCTGGGAATTAAGTGGGCTTGACCCTCAGTGAGGAGACTTAACCTTGTAAGACTAAGAGGGTAATCGAATCTCATGTTTCAGGGCATAAGCCGATCACTGCAGGGGTCAGGAAGGAATTACCTGCCCCTCCAGAACTGTGACACGGGAGGATTTTTGCCTCCTTCTGATGCAGTAAGTATCGGTCACTGCCAGAGTCAGCGACCCAGTCTTGACAGCCTGACGTTCTGATCAGCACTGGCAAATCCTATCCAGTAATTCCTCTAATGTTCTTAGCAACTCTTGCTGGGTCTCCTGCTTTATTTCTGGCTGCTCTGGTAGGGGCTGGAATCCAGGGGTCATTCCCACTGCACTGATTTCAGGCCAGCAAAAACAGATTGCCCAGCTGGGGAGAGGAGACCAAAAAGGTGCTCTGGGATTACAAGCAGGAGCTCCAGTCCCAGAGAGTACCTGGGGCTTGCAAAGATGCAGACTGCACATGGCAAGGGCACAGGACAGGAGAGGCAGACTAAGCTTGCAGCTAAGGTCTCGGACAGCTCATGGGAGAGTTGCATTCAATCCTAACCCTGCCATAAAGGTGCTGGGCTTGGAGTCAGGGCCTTGGTGCATCACAGCGTTCTGAAATGCAGCTGCAAATTACTGTATTCTCTCACAAACAGCACATATCTTTTCACAGAAACCCAGCTGCTGGAATTATGGTGCACATTACATGTGAGAAATATGGTAAGAACAGTTTCTGTGGCTTTCTGGGTGAAACAGAAAGCAAAATCTACAACAATCCACAGCAGGCTCAGCTCCCTGCTGCTACTTGGACACTAACAACATGAAAAAATCTTTTTTCCTTTATTCTGCCTTTCAAAAACAAGGTGTGCGTTTTTTTCCCGGGTGTGTTGTATAAGAGAAAATATGATAGTTCAACTGGTGTAGAGGGCAGGATCACCAGCTCCTCTCCAAGGAGGACCAGAACACTGGAGTCTGTAGGATGGCTTTGCTACTTATGTCCTATGTGGCCTTGGGTAAGTCACATTAGACCTAAGTTCCCCATCTAAGCAACAATTCCTTCCTCCATGGCTTGTCTCCTCTACTGAGATCCGAACACCTTCAAGCAGTGGCTGTATCTTACCAGGACTACGCACAGGGCTCCACTGTGCTAGGAACCAATTTCTTTGAGGCTCTGGGGGCTACCATAAGACCAAGACTCAACTGATCCTTGCAGGGGGCCCCAGACCCTACTAGACTATAAGCTCTTTGGAGCACGGCCTCTCTGCATGGCCTCCCTCCCAACCCCCAGCCCCAAAGTTATCCTCCTGCCTGCTGCCTGGGGACAGCTGAGATGGTGCTTAGCTGATTAATGAACTGAATAGTCTTCCTCATCGCCCGTCTCTGCTCTGCCAAGTGAAGGGGTAGTGGGCTCACATTAGCTTCACAGCCAGAAAGCCAGACAACACACCCGTACAGCACCGAGCGCCGTCCAACCAACTTGGCTGTATTCCTAAGAGGCCAGCATTGGGAGAGGAAAGATTCTCCCTACACCCAGCAAGATAGACAGCCTGGCCCAGGGTCCTGCAGCAAGCCGATGGACAAAGCCAGGACCCAAATCCAGTGCTTTCAGCCCCAAACTATCAGATAAAAGCCCCCAAACCTCCCATAGCAGCTCCCCCCTCCCACCCCGCCACCAGCCAAGCTGGATCCCAGCTTGGGGAGAACACACTCTCTTTCCCTTCCTGAAGGGCTATAAAACAGGGTTAGGCCAAGCCCTTACACTCCAGACTTAACAAATAGTTTCCATTCACTTTAATGTCTACCCAGGCTCCCATTGCTGGCCGGCCGTACATTATAGCCCAGTTCCTACGCACCACGTTTAGGGCAGCGAACGCGGCTGCCCCTATAAAAAACCTTCCAACTTCTTCAATAAACACTAATGCCCCGTTTCCTGCTCATTATGGAAAATCAACAGCGCCGGGAGCAAGCGGGAGACTTTCAAAACTGTTCCCTTTACCACCCCCACCCCTCCAGCCCTCAGGTCAGACATTAATGAAGGAAACCTGCAATTTTCTATTGTTTCTGCATGGAGCAGGAAGGCTACTCAATGCAACCAAGCTGTTCCTTTGAGTGGTAAGGGGCCGTAGCTGGTTCAAGAAGCCTGAATGAGAAAGGGGTGATGGGACAGCCCCAAAAAGAAGGGGCTAAAAAAAGGGGCTTCCCTGCCATGTGAAGTAGGGAGTGTAACTTGTGATTCTGCCACAGACGCCCTCCTACAAACATGGGCAAATCTCTTAAGAGCAGGTTTTGTGGTACTGGCGCCCAAAACTGCAGTTCTCTCTTGCCAGGAGCTCAGCTCCGTTCTGCTCTGCCTGGATTCTTTGGCTGCATTCATCCTTGGAGAAGCTTATCACCTTCCACTTGCTCACCAAGCCATGTGGAAATAGGGCCAGATTTGCAATCGCGCTTGGTTCGTCTCCATCAGTAGCAGTGCTCCAGAAAACTCCAACCCCTGGAGCCGGGTCTTTGCTGGGCAAAACTTCCTCTCGAACCTGGCAGCAGACCCCAGGAATCCCATACCCCCTGAGAGCAGCAGATAAGATTTCTGGTCCTCCCAGAAGTGGAAGCAGAACCCAGGGGTTCAGACATGCACTTTCTAGCAGTAACCGCTACACCACATTTGCTCTCAAAATTAAACCCAGGAGTCCCGGATTAACCACTAGACCACACTGGCTCCCAAACCTGGAAATGAAACCCAAGAGTCCTACTTCCTAAGACACCCATGCTAAGCATCAAATTCACTTTTCGGTTCCTAAGCTTCTACCAATGCACCTTCGGGGTTTTCTGTCCATGTCCTATGAGTCTCAGGTATGGCTTTTCCTCCAACCTCTGCAGGAAGGATTGCCGCCAAGATAACTGACCTACTGTGTTGACAGAATCCTCCGGTAAGAAGCACTAACTAGGGCATCTGTCGCGGCAGGTTAATTTTAAGACCCAACAACCTTGCGGGTGTTCCCTGAAGGGCAGGACAGAGCTGCTGCCACAGGAACCCACCATGTCCCTTCTGACCCCCCTCCAGAACCCTACTCCCAGGTCACCACTGATGGATTAAAGCTGGATGCTTGATTATAAGGAGACAAGGGGGTCCAATGGAGGGCAATGAAAATGGTTCGGGCGCTGGGGTACATGACTTATAAGGAGAGGTTGAGGGAACTAGGCTTATATAGTCTGCAGAAGAGAAGACTGAGGGGGGATTTAATAGCAGCCTTCAGCTCCCTGCAGGGGGTTGCAAAGAGGATGGAGCTGGACTGCTCTCAGTGGTGGCAGATGACAGGACAAGGAGCAACAGGCTCCTGTTGCAGCAAGGGAAGTTGAGGTTGGAGATTAGGAAAATCTCTCTCACCAGGAGAGTGGTGAAGCACTGGAACAGGTTCCCCAGAGAAGTGGTAGAGTCTCCATCCTTGGAGGTTTTTAAGCCCTGGCTAGACAAAGCCTTGGCTGGGATGATGTAGTTGGGGATGATCCAGTTTTAAGCAGTGGGTTGGACTAGATATGACCTCCTGGGGTCCCTTCCCACCCTCATTTTCTGTGAAACTCAGGGACATCAGGGAACCCAGGGACAGCCACAGGGGAGAGCAAATGGTGACAAAAACACATGCCCTGAACTTTGGATCTGTCAGGAAACCAATGGAGACTTCATCTTCCCACTGGGAACATGATCCTGAGAACTGCTGGATCATACTGGAACCAATCCGCTGCCAGGAACAGATAAATCATAGAAAATGAGGGTTGAAAGGGACCTCAGGAGGTTGCATCTAGTCCACCCCCCGCTGAAGAATGAAGAAGTCTGGTTGCTTTTCCATGAAGATACTTACATGTGCATGTGAAAGTACGCATGTGCTTATGTGCATGTGTGAGCACACAAAGGTGCATGCAAAAAAATAACTAGCTTTTCCGGGTTTATTTGTTTTTTAAAGGAGGTTTTCCTTGACAAAAGAGAGCCACCAAACCCAGGCAGACTCCAGTTTCCAGTTACATTTCTGGTTTCTTCCCTTTTTTTTTTGTTTTAAGTTGAAAAACTAGAACATTTCAAATTAAACAAATTTTCAGCCGCATTTTCCTTGTTGCGGTGGGAAGAGAACAGTTTGGTTGCACCTCTGGGTTATGGGGGAACAACTTGCTGAACAATCAGATAAGCACCCCCTCCTGCCCCTGTTCTCCCATTAAAACCACCACTCAGCCTGCCAAGCTTCAAGCCTGGCATGCTTAGCTTCTGAGAGCCATTGTTACTTGCTGATCTCAAAGACCTTTGCAAAAGTGGATGCATATCACTGAGCTCCGGAAGTCAAGGTGTCCCTTGAACACCTGGGGGAGGAGTTTCAGAGACCAGGTGGTCCCTGTTGTCTGAAAACCCAGCCTCATTTGAGGTATTTCAGGCTCTGCACCCCAAAAATAAATATTACTAATCGCTTTGGAACCTGGGGAAACTGAGGCACACAAAAAAAGCAAATTTGATCTTTGACCTTCAGCGGCGGGTGGGCTCAAACTGATACACAGCAGCAAAGGAAAGGGGCTGACCTGTCGATTCCGCTCGTCCGTGATCCGCTGGATCTGGATCTTTTTTCTCCCCATCTTCTCCGGAAATCTTCACTGTATGGGGATGACTTCTTGGCTCTTGGGGAAGGAGCAAAGGATCCCGTCTCAAGCCGGTGTCATTCAAGAACGTTTTTGAAGTTAATAAAAAAAA